AAGAACCCCCCTTTTGAAATTGCTGGCTATGAGCCAGACAATCTATAATGTTCTTCACTTTGATGTATACAGGTCATGTCTGTACTGGGCCATAGATCGAGATCAAGCCAGTCTGGTCAAGATGCTCATCCAGTATGGGGCAGACACTTCATTAATGGACGACCAAGGGAATCGGCCCATCCACCATTGCTGCTGGGAGTCTGTACAAATGGACTGCGCGTGGGAAGTGATTAAAGGAGGCGGTCTCATTTCTACTAAAGAAAACACGGTTTTGAATGACAAAAGGGTGTCTAACCAGCCATCTCTGTTCAGGACTCTACTATGGCAGCTACATGTTGAGCCCGATGCGCAGATGTTGGTGAAGATACTGCGGATGTTGGTAATTTGGGGGTACGGTGTCCACACTACAGAGGCCCATCAAATTGTATCTACACTTCACTTAGCGGACATAACAATGGTTGAAGACCCTGAAAATTTCAAGTCATTTGTTCAGTGGTTTGAAGAAAAGGTAAAAAACCCACACACTCTGAAGCATTCATGTTGTTTGAGCATAAGAAATGCCCTCGGAAGTAAGAAATTGAGGGACAAAATCTACTCTCTGCCACTCCCACACCAGCTACAGATACATTTGTCAATGGAGGACTGCATTTAAGATTATTTAACGCGAGCTGAGAGTGCCAATGCGTTGTCTACACTGGATATTATAGTTGAAAAGATCTCGAGACACCTTAACATTTACCAACTTTACTTATAAGAACAGGAGTTGATCATAAAGCACCATTTTGCATGTGTTGCATCGACTGCAAAACGAGCAAGAGTCAGTATTTTTGGTGTTCTTATTGTGGAAAAGTCACTCTGGTCAGGTTAATTGCTATACTCAGCACTCTGTATATGTACACATACCGGTATACTGTGTATAGGAAAGGGTATGGAAAAGTGAAATTAGGGAAAAGTTTTAAAGGAACCTCACTTGATTTTGAATGGTATATAGTTTTATATATGCATGTAACTTCTGTGGTACTTTCAGTCTCTTGGTAATTTTAGTTGGCATGTTTTAAAATTTTATGATTTCATCTACTAAAATATATATCACATGGTGCTGAGATGAATGCAGACTATAGGGCATGATTGAGGTGACACCTAGGCAAACAAAATACAACAGTGACACCTGGTTGACGAAGCATGCTGGTGACACATGGTTAAATGTACACTGAGGCAGCACTTGATATATAAAGGCATCAAAAATGTATGTCTAAAGAACTGTTGTCATTAACGAGGTTCTTGAGATGACAATTTTACATTACTTTATGATAACCTACATTTTGTTAGAATGCCATTCTTTCTAATATACTCCCTGCAAGCATATTTCATTTATGTAAAATTTTAATTTGCTATCTCATTCCTTGATCAAATGTTTAACCTTTTTGTCTGTCTGCTGTACAGTATGTAACTGCCAAATCATCAATGTTATGATAAATAAGAATCTAATTAATTTTTATTGTGTACATCTTTTCAATATATATAAAGTACAACCTACATGTATCACTATAAGTTATTAACGTTATTATAATAAAAATCGGTTGGATCAAGAAACTATTCACTCAGCCAGGATCAGCGAGCGCGTGGCCGTGCTCCAGGGATTGTGTTAGAGGTGCCTGGGATTACTACTGTAATCGGAGTTGGGGAATATACTAACTTTGTTTTTTTCGGGTGGGGGGGGGGGGGGGGGGGTTTTTTTAGGGTTTATATGTTGTTTAAATTCGAGTCCATTACATAACTGTCTAACCTCTCAAATAGAGAATGTAGTTTTTTTAGAGATGTAAAGATGTATTTCGGACCTAAATTCTCCCTTACAGAGTCTATAGAAAACCCTAGAATAGAAAACGCGTACGCTTTCACCTACAACTTAGGCCCTCATTTTATTTGCGACAGTTAAAAATACAGCGGCGGATTTAGATCCGCCCCTGACAATAGAAATTTAAAACTCAAAAACAGTTTATTCATCATAATTCTCTCGGCGGTTTTGGTTAGGGTATACCTTTTCTTTGTCAGAGACGGGATAAAAATTGCTGAAATTTCTAGGAAAAATGAAGTTATTGGTATGCAGAAGTCAACTATTACGTGTTTTGCAAAATATATAATAAACAGAATAAAAGAACCAAAGAGATGAAATTTTGTATTTTTTCTCCGTATCTTTTTTCAAATTAATTTTATGTACCTTTTACTCCCATTAACTCAATGAGCCCCTTTTTCCAAATGTCTTTTTTCAAAAGTTACGTCCATGGGATCCTCATACCTCCGTAAGCCAACGCGTGCTCAGGTGGTAACGGCACGTGACTTCGCTTGCAGAGCTTTGTTTACTCACGTGACAGGGGTCGTGACGGGGTCGGTTGGTCTAAATAGATAAAACTTTATTTTAAAAGACAGTGTTGATACTGGGTTATATATCTTCGTATTTCTCTAGATACTCGGTGCATAAATTAAGCCTTCACGGATTTCAATCTTTTTGCCTCCTTTTGATCATTTTTACAAATATGTGAATGAGATGGCCTTTACTGGTAGGTCAAGCTGACCTGTCTAGTAGATCTCACGGATGTACTATTGACTTTTAGCACGTCAAATTGTCACATCATCTCCCTGTCAAAACACAATCACATACTTAGTGGTCATTTGACACAATCATCTAGTTTGCATTTTTTTCCTACACATTGTAGAAGAGATGCTGCCGTTCGATCGACCGGCGAGTTACACGTGACCGCTGTTGACGGTCAGTGAGACGGCTTTTAAATAGGTCAGCTGCCTTGACCTAGATATCCCCCACGTCTCTGACAGCACATGTGTGGGTACGCCGTAATTCACATTTGTGCAAGATAGCTGGCTATAATATATATATATATATCAGGTGAGTGGCATGACAATGAAACATAACAGCATGTGTTAAATGAAGAAGATAGAGCATTGTCAATATTTTAAACGAACAGCAGGGGTGATAGAGAGGCATAAAGTAAATTTTAAACATACCGGTAAATGAGGTACGCTGTAACGATTTTCCGCCCTAGCGATTGCCATGGCTATATGCTGTGTATATGGCATTGGAACTACGTAATATACTGATCTGCAGGCAGTTTGCATGCATTATGTATGTTTCTAATTCATAATTTAAATTTTTAAATCTTTGTATTGACTAACCATGATTATTATTATTATTATTATTATTATTATTATTATTATTATTATTATTATTCCAGAGAGGTTATGTTTTGTTCTTAAAGCTTGTCTGTGTATGTGGGAAATGACCAAATTTTTTTGGCCCAAGATACTGGCCCAAGATATCAATCGGTAAATATGCAAGGATGATTTGACACATGACATTTTACTGTCATGCCTATAATTCAC